TTTTCCCATCCTGAGTTCTATTACTAAGAACGTAACGCTCCTCCACAACAGAGGATCCCCTCCTAAATGAAGGCCCCTTGTCAGGAAGATGATGCAGGCTTCCTCTTGCCACCAGCCACCTCTACCAGTGACCTACCTATTCTATCTCAAATTCCACCATCATAGTTCAGAAGTCATTTTTCTAAATCGCCAAATCATGAGCCTACCCAAAAAGAAGTCTGTCATATTTATTGGCACTGCCAATGGAAATCACAATGGATCAGAAACTGTGTACGTGGAATGAAAGGATGAAATCTCAAACATCTGTGCACATGGATGTTCATCTCCCTATTGATATCAAGGGGGAGAAAGACTGGAGCCATAAAGCACGGACAGCTTGGCTGCTGTGACTGGCATCATCCAGTGTAGGAAGGGGCTCCTTGGAGCACTACTGTTCCAGAAGTCTCCTTGGAGTTGCTAGAGCCTAGAAGTTTCCAACATCTATCAAAAGGCAAAAGAAGTTACCTCTATAAATTACTAATTGTAATGACCTTCAACAACAACATCTGTTGTTCCAATATCCTATTTTAGCCAAATTCAGATTTTAGAATGTGTCAATGTGACCAGAAGAGAGCTATCATTTCTACATTATTCTTTGGAAGTGTCATGTTACAAAACCTGTACAGGAGCAGTAACTGCCAACTGGATTCCAGTTTAGTCCTTAAAGGGCTCTCTGTTCCTATGCATGTGAAGTTGCAGTTTTACTTATAAAGTAAATCTTAAAAGTAAAAAGCAACAGAGAAATGTTTTGGAATTATAAAAAGTGGAAAATGGAAGTTACATTCTGGTTTACAAATTCACTGAAATGGATTTTCAGCCAGGCCTGAAAGAAAACAGGAGTTTTAGGAGTGACAGCATGTTATCATTCCTCCTCTACACTAGAAATCCTTCAGTGCCCTATTTTTAGCCTTCTTACTACAAGATTATGTGCAGCCAAGAATCCAGTTCCTTTGACTCACTACTTTAACATAGAAAACTCAACAGTAGGCAAGCGAGGCAGAGAGAAACCTGTTTGGTTCTCAAATTCCTAACTGATCAAAGTCAAAACTCCTTCTGAAGCTCTAAGACTTCAAAGGGCAGTTTTCCCTGATCTTACACTGAAGAAAGGTAAGGTTTTTCACTGCCTCTGGGAAGCTGTAGCTCCCATCACAATATACATTTGAAGAAGCCAAACATTTCCTATTCAGATTCCAACCTCTGATTTGCAGAACATTAATAAAATATTCCTGCTTTGAACAAAATGTATTTGCTGCCATGTTTTGCTGATAGCAAAAGGAGAATATATAAGAGAAGCTTTAATTTGTCTCAACTAAGACAAACCAAGGTAAAAGTGCATGTCTAAATATGGGAAAAGTAACAGTTCCTCATTTTTTTAAAATAGTACAAATTCCTGTGTAGCATAATAAGAGGTTTTCTTATTTTGCTAGGTTGTTTTGTTTTAAGTTTATATTAAAGTGCCTGTCTGTTAGCCTAGGTGCTCCTAAAGTAAGATGTACAGTATAAAAACAAACCCACAAACATGTGCAATGGATTTCATGTACATCTGTAGTTGCCATTTGTCACCTACAATTATTAATCACAACCTCAAATGCAGCCAGCCAGGATGTCTTTGCCTACCACACGAGGAGTTCAGAAAACCCAGAAGCCCTTCCCCTTCTCTCTAGCACACCAAAAGGACAACAGATGTGGGGGGAGAGGACAATACACACTGACTTTCAAGTCAGCTCGAGTTTCAAATCAACGATATGATACAACTTTCAAACGTAAAGGCAACCTCTCACTTGTAGCTTGGCCAAAGATAAAACTGAACAAGTTGTTTTTTATTTGTAAACCTCTTGTTTGTTTCTATTAGAACCTCTATCAGCCAGACAGAAGTCTAATTGTGCAAATTTTAAATATCTGTACAAATTAGTTAAAGGCAGTTAAAAATCTCATGGAATATATATTAGTTCTACCAGCCCTTTATTATGACTGTTTAAAGATTACCTCCTCTATTGAATAACAAGTTCCTAACTTTGTTCCTACCAGTTTCATTCAAGATAACCTGTTTTCTTCTCATTTTGCAATGGGTTTTAAAATTTAAAATAGTTCAATTAGTGTTTGAGCTCTACCATGAAGAGTTTAGACTATACTAAGCAAAACCTAATAATTAACCTTCAACAGATGAAAGCAAGTTTTGTCTCAAATTAAAACTGCATGTGAAAGTTCCTTCTATTTGCTTTCCCATTTTGGAGTAGATAATTTTTTAAGGAAAATTATGTCTCCAAAGTAACCACATGTGTCACTGCATCAACCTTTTGTGTTTTCTGGTTAATGTATTTTGTCTTGCCTAGTAAATAGCCTGGTCATGCATTCTGTGCTTCAGGAGATGTCCTGCTTCCACATTTGTAGAACTTTTATTGGAATTAAGTGTAAGCAACTTAGATTTAGCAAACAAAGCATGTAAATGCATTCTAGTCCTTACAGCACTCGCAGCTTTTTTGAAAGGCTACATATAAAATAACAACCACATCTTATACAAAATTTCCCTGGCAAGTTTAATGGCAACTTAGAAATAAATTTGCCTCCCTTGTCAAATCAATTAATGTCAAAATTCCTTATGGGAATGTGCAAGCTTTCCTTCAGCAAGTATGAAAAATATACTGTCATATGTTAAAAAACTAAATGAAAGCGTGTTGTCAGTCAATGTTGACTGTGTTGGCCTCTTGCAAAATGGCAAGCAAAGTCATACTTGTTTTTACACTTACACCCACATATGTTGCACTGGAAAGGATTTTCAAATCCATGACATCCCATGTGAATAGTATACAGGATATTGTCCGCAAAGTACATGTCACAGTGTGGGCAGTGATGCAGAAGCTGAGGGTCCTGAACGGGAAGGGTTGGAGCTGGAGTGCTTGGTTGACTGTTAGTGATGCTGGGAGTACTGGTGTGGGCGCTGCGGTCGCTGCTGGGACCTGCCACGGGACTATAGTTCCTTGGATTGTGTGGAGGCCGAGAGTCCGGGCTGGTTGGAGAGGAACTTTGAGGAATATTTGCTGACACAGCTGAAACCACTGCAGGAGCAGCAGGCTGCTGTATCATGAAAGGCTTTTCATCTTGACAGGAAACAACGTCAGGAGAGGCTGGGTTTTGGTTTTCAGGAGGCAGGCTAGATAACTGTCCAGCTAATGTAGAGAGCTGGTTTAAAGGATTATCTACCATAAGGTCTTGTGGATCTCTTGGCAACCCACTGCTCTGGGCTGGTTTTGTCATGCTTTCATAGGCTTCAGTCTGGATGTTTGGGATTTCATGAGTGAAATCATTAAGGTAGTCTGGTTTCTGAACCACCATGGAAGGTGGACTCAAATTAATTAATGCTCTTCTGCTGTACCCCAAGTTGCTGGTCTTCTTCTGCAAAACCCCCCATATTTTCTTGCTGCTGAGGGAAGACCTGGTCCCCTTGATAGGCACCATTTTATGCTTGCGCCGGCGGTGGTGAGAGAGGTTGCTCCTGTCACTGCAGCGGAAGGAACACAACTCACACTTGTAGGGCTTTTCACCAGTATGTGACCTCATGTGGGCTTCCAGGTGACGCTCATAAGCTGATGCAAAGGGACATAAGTGGCATCTGTGTGGCTTCTCACCTGGAAAATTAAAATAGATTATAACTGTAGCACCTCGGGGTGCTTGAAAAAGGCTTTTCATGGAGCAGAAAGGAGGTGATGCGGAGCTGCTAATCAAGCAGTGCAGCTTCAGAGTCACTGCTAGTCTTGAGTTTACCTGGGTATTTGGTGGAAGAGTGAAGTAAATTTAGACATCTCTGCCTCACCCAAGTGCTAATTATTAGGAATTACAGCAGTGATGCCAAGGACTGAATGCAATGGTATTTGTGTGGTGGTCCTGACTAGATCCAAACCCTACCTCAACTCTAAAGCACATAAGCAATTGGCTACAGCAACGTCTGCACCACCAAAAATATAACTGTTCTTAGTGTAACTGTGTTTAAACACTGAGGGAGGGTATCCTTTTGATATCTTCCAAAGAATCCTACTTTTAAACATCCTGGAACTATTATCTAAATAACCCATGTAAATATGCATCCACTGAAGAACTCTATTTTGAAAAAGGATCCTGTGGCTAAAGAGTTAAAGACAACAAAAGCCAACTAATCCCTGTACAGATGTGACAGAACCAGATATTCTCCCTTCTGACAGGTAGAACGTGGCCCTTCTGTTCAATGATATTTAGAGCTAGTTGCATTAACACTTTTTAAAATTACTTACAAAACTTTCAAACATAATCACAGGCCAACGCATTGGGAACATAATACTTTGGGACTTCTGAATTTCCTTTCACAGACTGATCTTGTGGGGGTTTTTAGATCCAATGCAGATTCCTATAAACGTGTCATGAGCCGATGCCAGGGGGGCAGTTTCCCACAAAACGCCTGAAGGATTTGATGCACATTAAGGTGCTGAAATGAAACATTATCTTCTTTTCCTATCTAAAATGCCAGGTCAGTTTCTAAATCACTGTCGTGCAACTGCTTTTTCTGCCACACAGCACAGCAAGCTTCAAAAAACTGTGAGTGGGCTCCTTCTCTTCAGCCTTTACGGGTTGGGTTGGTTTTTTTTAAGCATTTTCTATTATTTTAAATACAGGGCAACACAGCTGGTTTGTGGCTTTCAAAATCCATCTAGAACAACTGCAAAAGCCAAAGACCTGGATGCAGTGAGGGCCACTATTTTTTCCCCTACAGAACTGGCTCTTGAAGATGAAAGAAAACAATTTCTGTGGTATCACTAAAAACCTTAGATTTGCACCAACTGGTTTCTCCATAAGCATATATAGGTATTCATGTATGTGGCTGTGTAAACAACTGGAGATTTGGTACAAACCATGATGCAAAAAGACTGACAGACTCCTTGCATTCACAAAGAACTTGTCAATCTGCATAGGCTTATTTCATTCTTGACTGGCTGCACAGAGGTAAAGAGTCACAGTGAGCTACTAATTATGCTGCTATCAGACTCAGCATGAAGTTAATTCTGCAGTAGGTTACACTTACTATGGTTGCATCATCGTGCCTGAGTGATAATTACTTTGGCAGACACCTTGCTGCACTTGCAGGTTAGCCAGGATGCATTATTTGTTTACTTACGTTGCCCTGAAGCTACAAGTCAGCTATCACTCCCCTATTTTAATGCTGATTCAGTCACTCCAAGCCTTCAAAGTCCATGCAATCCATCTCTTGGCCCTTTGCCATACCTCCCCACCATGCTTCCGAGCTAAACACTCAAGTCTTGGATCTTTGCCCTTAAGTGAAAAAAATACAAACAAACAAGAAAACCAAACAACCAAACCAAACCAAACAACCCTTCCTTGTTCTGGAGTCCCCGACTCTGTACAAAGAAACAAAGCACGACTTTCTGAAGACCCATTAAGGTAATGGCAAAATGGTGTTGCCATCAGGATACCACACAGTGCTGTATTAAAAATAATATTATTAAATACATTGTAAAAGGGAAAATTATACAGGGAAACAAGAAGATCTCTGGCAGCCTCAGATTCTTGTCTGTATTATAAAACTGAACAGATGGGTATACGGAAATGAACTGTTATCAGTGTATAGTCACTGGTACCTCATTATAGCCAGATTAGTGGAGTCTGATGCCTAAAGTGTTCACTGTGAAGGTGTGTCCAAACTGCTGAAGCACTCTGACACCCCTTGCCTCCCCCTCTAACTGCTAACTAGCTTTCTGAAACAGAAGTAATTCAGACTGCAGGATTTTGCAGTGGAGTGATGTGTGCCTTCGATCTGGCTGCCTCTTCCTAGCACCTCAGTGAAAGCTTCTTTGATCAAACATGTCATGTGTGTGCCCTCTGATAACAGGAACATCTGCAGCATCACTGAGACAAGAGTCATCCCACAGGTAGAGCTCTGTTCTTCTGCTGGAACACTCACAATATCATACACTACAACCACTACAACCAACTCAAACACATCAGCCAAGACATAAACCCAAAGTTTTATGCTTTGCCTTAAAACCCAAATTGGTGTAGCTCATGGAATGTTTGCTTCTGAATGACCACTGGGTCAGATTTTTTAGGACTCTTCTCAGCATCCTAGTTCATTGGTTGGAATCTTTCCTGCTTTTGTATATAATCTGCTGCAACTGCTGAAAATCTGAAGCAGTTCTGTTACCTCTAGCCACTTAGTAACCTCTACTGCCTGAAGTAGCTGCAGAAGAAAGCATTCAGAAAACAGGAAAGAATGTTAACCACAGACCTGAGAATATAAAAAAGGGAGGCAACTTCCTAGACTACAAAAAGGAATGCTGACACTGTGTTAATACCCATATTTTGATACTTCAAGAAGGAACATTTGATTTCTTGCTCTCTAGTATGGCTAAAATTTATTACATTAGTTCTTAAGTAACAACAGATAATTTCAGTAACTCTGTTTTGAGAAACCTCATGCACAGCAAAGCCATCAAAAACATCTCAACGATCAGCAAACACACAACACCAACATCTTCTACTAGCAATTTATGTTTCCTATCACAGCTTTAGAAGTCCACCTGTTCTTGTTGACGACTGGCCAGATGCAAGTTTTAAATGGCAATAGCTACATGCTGCTGAAAAGATTAAATTTTAAAGATGATGGTACCTCTGCATCTTTAAGTGCCATTTAAAAATCATCCTAAAGTGCTACAGTGATCTGTATAAGCCTGCAGCACAGTTTCTCCCACTACGTGACTCTCATTTCACAAGCAGAACTGCACAGAGTAAAGCTTCTGGAACAAAAAACACCTCTCATTCTCCACATACCATATGAGGCAAATAACAGGTGAAGCTGCAACTGTTTCATGAAAAAATAGACCAAAAATGCTCCAAAACACACTGCTGCAAAACTTCCGCTGGGCATCTGAAAACAGCAACAGCTACATAGAGGTAGCTCACAGTGGCACAAAGAAGAATTTACAAGATCTTCAGAATCTGAACCTTGGAACTCTTTGATTTCTATTTGGTTTCTATCCCACTGTGACTTGTCAAAAGCAGCCAGTGCTGCAAGGCCAGCACAAGGAGCAATACCTGCCCCAGAAACCATCCTGGGAGCTCCTGTGTAGCAGCAGTAGTTCTCAGCAGTGAGAACCTGACTAACAATGACCCTGCAACTATATCCAAGTTACAACAATGTGTTTCCTTCAAAATGAGTCCCAGAATGCCACCTAAGGTAAGTATGTAAGAGAAAAACAGTATTTATGTATTTATGATTTATTAAATGATAATTTTATTCTGTGATTGTGTTCAAACATAGGCAGGTATATGTACAGTCAATATACTATAATGTTCCCCATTATAACTGATGTAACCCACTCACAGACTCTGCCTTCTCTCATAGTAAAACCCCAGGTCTAACTTCCACATTAAAACCACCCCCTCCAACTCTAAGAGACCACTGAAATGATACACTTGAAAAGTTTAGGGACAGTAAAAGCTTCCTTTTTTTTTTTACACAATACATTTATTTTTTTCTCCTTACAATTCTAGTTAAAAGCCATAAAGTCTTCTACACTGGTGTAACATACTTGCCAGGCACCAAACTCAGACTTCACATGGACCTTTCATTTGTTTTCTCTCATTTGCCAAGAAACTGGAGCTGGCTTCATTAGCAGTTCAGGATATTCTAACCTTTATTGTGAGTTTTGCTCTTCACCTTCATAAACCCAAGAGCAACAAATGCTCTTAAGCAAGCCACAGTAATTTTTCTATTCATTGCTATTATTTATCACTTATTTGATGATACATCCTCACGTTTGAATATTCTACCCATAAGAAAACTTTTTTCTTATTAGTATGTTTTGTACTTGCACATCTAATATGTTGTACAAAACAGGAATATTTTCCTGAGAGAGGCAGAAAAGCCCCTATAAATCTCCACGTGGCAACACGTACATTCTTCACTTTCCTGACTAGGAAGGAAAAATTAAAATTTTAATTTAGGGCCCTTCATTTACACTGATGGTTTTCATGCTAAACTTTACTCCCATATCTAGTTACTTCAGTAGTCTGCAGTAATAAATTTAAGCAGAAATTTGCATCATTTAAATGGGTAAATGGCACACATTGAAAAAAAGAGTCTATTAAAAAAAAAACAAACACCCCAAAGCCAAATCTAATTGTTGAGTAACTCTAAGAACTACCACACTGCTTGAAGATACTGACTCCTCACATGCCAATGGTAATACCATTCCCTACCTGTGTGGATTCTGATATGCTCGATGAGCCGGGCTGTCCCTTTGCTGGCGTAGTTGCAGTATCGACACTTCAACTTCCCATCAAATGTCCTTTCAAAGCCATCCACTAACATTCCTGAGTTTTCATCCAGGGAAACTTCAACTGAAGGATGATCAAGACCATTCTGATCACCTTCTGCCCCAGCTGTGAATAGTACAGAAGAGATTTCAATCAATAATCTATTGTGCTGTGAGAATATGCCCAATATCTTTTGCTTCTCTATGCCCTTGGTCTTTAAATACACAGAATTATTAGAACCAAGCTTGATTAAAAGAAAGGTACACACACATCTCTAGTGATGTCAAAACCACTATCAGAAATGCTTCCATACAACTCTAATAGTCTGCATAATCATCTGGAATCTAAACAGTGCAGTCATTCTCAAAAAAAACCCCCAACAAACAAAAACTGGACAGCACTGCAACCAGCTTTACCTCCTTGAAGAGTCTCTGCCTCCTTGTCTCCACTAACTGATCCAGAAATCATATTCACATGGTGAGTCTGCTGGGTGAGGTACTCCTGAAAATCTTTTACAAAGTCCAAAGGTTCTGGCTTCTTCTCACCCATATTCACTCTCGACGTTTACAAATTCTTGTGTCTAGAAAGAAAAATATTTTCAAAACATAAGTATCATTGAATTTGAATGCGTTCATAAAAACAAGTTGCTTTTGGAATCTGGGTTTGGTTTTGTTTGTTGGTCATTTTGTTTTTAAGTGAAGGATGACTTCTATCATACAGCACAACCCAATGCACAAACTGACAAACATAAGAATATTATTTCTCAAATTTTTAACTCATTCAAGCTCACCAAGGACTTATTACTGAGGAAACCATTTTCAGCTACAGTAAAATAAGGACAATATTAAATGGGATAAAATTACTACCATCAAATTAAACCTTTTTTTCCTTAACGGGATCATACCTGAATTTTAGTTCCCTGCTAAGTAGCAAACATGCTCCAAAATTTACTCCTAGCACAGAACACAGCTTCTCCACTTCCCCTGGCAGGAGAAAAAATGGAAATGTCAGTCCATTATTCTTCTCCACCCCTATGAGCTGTAAGGTAGAAATTTGAAAACAGGTACGTTTGAAAGACAGGTTCTACTGCAGCCACGAGGCTGGTTCTTTGTTGTGGTCTTAGGCTAAACCACAACATTTGCACTGAAATAATAAATATATTCACTAGAAGTCACTGGTCATGCTCTTTTCAGAGACTGCAAATGACAAACTCCTAGAGTATCAAAAAACGAATTTGTGAAGACAGAACTTAGGATTCAGTTGGAAACAGGAAAATAAGTCACACTGTTATGGTCAGACAGAAAGCACAGAACACACCTTCTCCACTTCCCCTGGCAGGAGAAAAAATGGAAATGTCAGTCCATTAATCTTCTCCACCCCTATGAGCTGTAAGATAGAAATCTGAAAATAATAGGTACGTTTGAAAGACAGGTTCTAACACTCTCCTGCAGCCACGAGGCTGGTTCTTTGTTGTGGTCTTAGGCCCAAACCACAACATTTGCACTGAAATAATAAATATATTCACTAGAAGTCACTGGTCATGCTCTTTTCAGAGACTGCAAATGACAAACTCCTAGAGTATCAAAAAACGAATTTGTGAAGACAGAACTTAGGATTCAGTTGGAAACAGGAAAATAAGTCACACTGTTATTCCTGCAGGTTATAATCAGAATATCTTTCTGTTTTTCAACAGCTACCAAACATTAAGTGACCTACAAAAACTCAAGACCTGAGTTCCAGACCACATTTAAACAGTTTCCTGCCTTTACAAAGATTTTCACAAGCATTTGTCCATTTTTTGGTATCCAGATGAGTATGTTCTTTCACCTCACACCTAAAGGTGCTTAACTACGACCATAAAGTTAGTTTCAAATGCATCTTCATGTACCAATTTTCATTTGCACTGAAATAATAAATATATTCACTAGAAGTCACTGGTCATGCTCTTTTCAGAGACTGCAAACGACAAACTTCTAGAGTATCAAAAAATGAATTTGTGAAGACAGAACTTAGGATTCAGTTGGAAACAGGACAATAAGTCACACTGTCATTCCTGCAGGTTATAATCAGAATAAGAATATCTTTCCATTTTTCAACAGCTACTAAACATTAAGTGACCTACAAAAACTCAAGACCTGAGTTCCAGACCACATTTAAACAGTTTCCTGCCTTTACAAAGATTTTCACAAGCATTTGTCCATTTTTTGGTATCCAGATGAGTATGTTCTTTCACCTCACACCTAAAGGTGCTTAACTACAACCATAAAGTTAGTTTCAAATGCATCTTCATGTACCAATTTTACCTACCCTCTTTCAGGTGTCACCAGCCCCGTGTAGGCTTAAGTTAATCTGTGTTTCATTTGTTGGTGTCTCCTGCAATAAAGCAAAGATACCAAATATAAAAGACATTAAAGACATGGAAGATAAAAACAGGACAAGGTAATTCAGAGTCCTGGCCAGGCTAACTTTCACCAAATTGTATTGTTAAGAGATTATAATTTAAAATTAAACCATTCTGAAACATTGACTGGTTCAACATGAAAAGGTAAAGATCCATATTTTCACAGAAGAACTTGTGTATCCCTTTGCTTAAGGCATAAAATCTTACTTGTTTGATTACTTTTATAATTACATTTAATTTTTAAAAAGTTACACAACATTTTTTTTTAAATTATTGGGGAAAAGATGTTACTTGGGGGACCAACTGCATAAAACTTCCTCTCTGATGAACTCATATATTCAATTTGAAAACATTAATCTTTCTTTTTATGTCAATGTGGGCAAGTTGCCACAACTTAAGCACAGCCTCAAACCTCTTCATCTCCACGCATAAAAGAACATTTTGAGATTTTATGTGTTATTTTTTTACAGATACCCAATCAGCCATTCTCCTTTTCAGGGAAGACAAAAACAGTTCAGATAATTCCTGTGTCAGTGCTGTAAACTAGTAAATGCAATTCTAATTATGAGAAACCTGAAGAGACCAGCTCAGGTTTCGCTCAACAGGGTTGATCACACCAGATGTGCCTCAATTTCTATTTATACAGAACAATTTCTGTATAGACAACTACATGTTCTCCAGCATTTTACCTGATGGGTGGAACACTGGTGATTCATTTTCCACACAGGCATTAACTGCTGGATTTAGTATTAGTTACAGTGCTGATGTGCACCCATTTCTTTGTCCAAGAAGTGCTATAGGATGTACTAGGATGACAGGCATTATATTTTACCTAAAGAACTCTGCTACAGACAGTAACTCAGACTGAGTAAAACAAGTACTTTAATGCACAGAGTAAAAACTTACAGTGCAGTAATTGTAAGAGAGTAAAACAATACGACTACATAGACATGTGTGTTAATGAGAGGAAAACAAAAAGCGGGTAGGAGAATCTCTCTGTCCCATTTTTTCCAGCGCAGATGACTCGAATTTAAGACAAGGCAGGAGGAAGGAGCCCAAACTCTAGCCTAGGTTCTAGGGAAGGGCAGAGTCAGGCACGGGCGGCCGGGCCCAGCCCCTTCCCACCCCGGACGGTGCAGAGAAGCCCCCAATACTTCCCTCCCCTCTCTCCGGCCTTCACGCGTGGGCGGGAAGCGACACACCCACGGGAAACCTCTGCCTGAACGCGGCTCGGAAGCCGGGGACACGCTGACCCGCTCCCAGCGAGGCCCTGCCCGCCCAACGCAGCCTCCCCGGGAGCGGCGGCCGCACCGCC